GGTGGGGAGGGTTAGGTTTGGAGGAAGGTGGGTGGGACATATGGTTCATGTTTTTTTTTTTATTCTCTCTTGTGTCTGCAGGAGAGGAGAGGAAGGTAGGAATTCCTTGCTGTCAAGCTATGTTACCAAGGAATAGGGGATGGACATTTGTTGACTTTTAGAGGCCCCACTATGGGGTAGAGTGTTCCAAGGGGAGGATTGCTTGAATAATTTGGACAGTTCTGAGAAATCATTGGTTTTATTGCTCTAAGAATGAGAAAATATTTACAAGGTCAACTGGTTGACCAAGTCCACTTCATGCAGTCACACACCCAGGAACATGCTGCAATGCTTGGCCAAGATAATTGTCCAGTCTGTTCTGCTTTCCATCCTCTGACCAGGCAGTTGACGTCCCCTACTGGCCTAGCTCAGCTAGCTGTCGTGTCCCCCATGTGCATCTGAACATGCTGCTCGTTGTACAGGCAGCAGCAATCCTGGCACATGCACCCCAAGCTTGGACCACACATCCTGTTATTTTCCTGTAGCCAGGGTCTGAGTCCAGTCTAGCCCACCCCCAGCTCTGGTTCTTGCACTCATCAGCATTAGATATAGCCTAGCAGGGAAGTGCAAGACACGATCTTATAATATTCTGGAATTACATTGTATATAAATCCTATACACTATCAGAACGATCAATGTACTCCACCACCGGTGTCTCACGAGCTTTTTAGCCACTAAGCTAAATGCCCGTTTCTTCCATGACCTTTCTGAATTATTTTCATATGACTTTATTTTGGTGTAGACCCAGGGTTTCGTCTTTGACTTACTCAGTTTCCCTCATGTTAGAGAACAAAGAGCAGACATTCGACGCAGGGGTTATAATACTGCTCCAGATGCTCCATCCCACATCAGAGAGCCTGGGTTTGAGTTCTAGCTCTGGCCCTGATTGCAACTTTTGGCTAATGTGCACCTTGGTGGGTCCCAAGCTGTTGCCTCCAGCATGGAAGACCTAGCATAACCCAGCACCACCTATGGGAGTGATTGAAGACTACTCTTCACATAGTTGCCTCCATTCTCTTTACCTTTCAAGTAAATAGTGTTTTTTTTGTTTCAAACCCTAAGGCTGAGGCTGTTATTCATCTCTGGCTGTGGCAGTGACTGGGTTGACATTGGAGGACATGCAGCCAAGTAGAGGCAGAGTTGGATGAAACCACAGCTGGAGGCCAAGGTCGACCAGGGAGCACTGTGGGAAATCCAAGGCCAAGGCAGAGTCGGGAGGTGGGTCTCTAAAGACTTCCACCCCAACCCATGGGAGCGGTCGCTCCTGCTGCATTGGGTGGAGGAGCTCACATATGAAGGCCTGGAGCGGCAGGCAGCACTTCTCAGGATCCCAGAGGAAGAAGTGTCATTTCGGGTCGCTTGCAACTTGCTGTCCGTGGTAAGGAACAATTGTACCCTCATCAAGGCTGGCGTGGCTGCCAGTGGCATGAGACCTTGAATGCACGGATCTCCCACTGACAAGAAGACACAGCAGAAAGCTGCCTGGAAATGTTTGCCTTCCTCCTCCTCACTGTACTATAACGGGGACAGAAGAAACAACGGGACTATGTGCAATTGCTAGAGACAGTTCAATGCAAAAGCATAAAGAATTACCACAGACAGGATCACAGAAATATTCATGCGTTCTCAGACCTGGACATCCGATAAAGTACCTTTTCATGTATGGACTGGCTAGGTTAGGCTGTGTGTTTTAAACAACAATGAAACCAACAAACTGTATTTTTTAAAAATTAAAAGGAAACTGAAGTTTTAAAAAACAAAAGGCCAACATTCTCATTTTTCTCATTTGGAAATAAGAAGCCATGCATCTGGCTGGAGCAAGAGGAGTATCACGGATTCTGAAATTACTCTCCCAGGCCTTTCCTGTTTGAAGAGAAGTTGGGGTGACCAGGTGCCCCCGAGTCAACCACACCTGCAGAAAGCCCTGCTCCAGGCTGCAGCCCTGCGTCCCCCCAAGGAGCTCTGCTGCTGGGGGGAGCAGATAGCCACGGGTTCTCCTCACCTTAGCGTCAGCCCATGAGCTAGTTACGCCACACATCACAGCAGCATTTCTGAGTTCAGCATGGAAACCAGGACAGGAAAGATCTTCAAACCACACAGGAAGCTTGTCACAAGTCTTAAGGCTTTTTTAAAATTACTTTATTTTCAGAACAGAGTCTGGTTTTATTTTTAAAAAGAGAAAGGAAAGCATCGTGACAAATACAAGTGAGGTGCTACTTCCTGCCTCCTTCAGGACTCTCTGTGCCAGCAAGTTCCCTTCCAGAAATGCCCACAGGCTTAGAACCAGGGCCCATAAGAACAGAGCCGTCATTAGAGGTGGTCCCTTCTTTCTTAAGCAGGTAGGGATCTAGAAATTCAGAGGAAGCCCCTTACTTGCTCACGTGACAGGAGCGAGCAGGTCTAGAGTCTGGACCCAGGGCTCCCTCTGCGAGCTGTGCTGCTGGCCCAGCCCTCAGGAGATGGGTGCTGTGGGCTGGCAGGACACTGAGAGCACCTCAGGGTCGACCCTTGCAATCGAGATGCCCCAGGAAGCCAGGAAAATCAGTCCTTTCTTGTGAATGAGGTGAGGAAGACGATTGAAGAGGTTCAAGGAAAGTAAAAGAGTGAACCGACCCTCTGAGTACAAAGCACCTGTGCTAAATGAAGGAGGATGCCCAGGCCTGGCCTCTGTGGTGCCAGCCTCCAAGTCGCTGAACACCACCCACCCCGGGGAGTGGCAGTCAGGCACCCTTCCAGCCAGGCCCGCAGTGCTGAGGGGCATCGGTCACTCAGGAGTGAACAAAGGAGCAGGTTGGGGCTAGCTAGGCCAGCCATGGCTCAGACACAAGGTGCATTCAATCACTAAGTGGGGACACAGGGAGCAGCTTTCGGTCCCCGCCCAGATCCCTGGGTCTAATCAAAGGAAGCAAAAAGCAATCAGGAGGGGAAGGTGGGAAGGCAGAGGGAAGAGCCAATCCACTGCCAACTCCACCCAACCAGGCTGAGACTGAGCAGGTCCAGGGCCCAGGAAGAGCAAGGGCACACGGCCATGCCAGTGCTTTTCCCATTGCTTCGCACTCACTGGCAGGGACCCACGGGAGAACCCCGGCCATGCCACTAGCCCCCTCTGGTGTCTCTGTCCAAGGAGATCTTCAACCCACGGGTCTGAAGTTCTCAGATGATCCTAGCAGAATCTAAACGAAAGGGGGAAAAAAAAAAAAAAATGAGCTGGGTGCTGACTCAGCAGTCAGCGATGGGGGCACTTCCGTCACTCCCCTCCCCTGTAGAAGGCAGATACAGGGCAACAGTAACAGCCCTGTGATTCCAGCCCAGCCCTGCTGCCCCTTCCCCCAGGGCTTCAGACATACCCAAGGCAGAGGCAGAGAGCGCTCTGCACTGGACCCGCTGCTGGTCCCTCTCCTGTCCACCCCCGCAGGGGCCACTGTGACCAAGCCCTTCAAGAGCCAGAAACTCAAGGAATGCTGGAGTTGAAGAGTTTCAAGAGCACTCGTCCAATGCCCAGGTTCTAAATACAACAAAACTGAGTGCAAGAAAGGAAAAAACTGTTGTCACCCAAAGCCAGTGAGTGACAAGGGCAGAACTGGAACCCATGTCTTCTGGCACCTTTGCCAGTTTATTCTACTACAAAAAGCTTCCCAAGCAGAAGAGAGAAGAAAACCAAAAATTCTTAAAAGTGTCACCTCCCACCCATTCTCTCTCTTTTCAAAATGATTCATTTTATTTATTTGAAAGGCAGACTTACAGAGAGAGAGAGATTTTTTTTCCTTCCATTGATTCACCCCTCAGATGGTCACAATGGCTAGGACTGGGCCAGGTGGAAGCCAGGAGCCAGGAGCTTCTTCCAGGTCTCCCACTTGCATGCAGACACCCAAATACTGCTTTCCCAGATGTATTAGCAGGTAGCTGGATAAGAAGTAGACTCAAATCAGCACCCGTATGGGATGTTGGGACCGTCTGGCTTCCTGCATCCTTGGTACCCTCACATCATACATCAGGATTCCAGGAGGGCAGCCCCTGGGTCCTCAACGGGAGGACCATTGTAGGGGAAGGTGGGCTCCAAGCCTGCCAAGGTCTTTCCCGGCCAGCACCATAGCACCATATGGCTAAACGTGCAGGGCTGAGGGGGGAAGCAAAGGAGGGCAAAGCAGTGGCTGTGACACCACAGACCCTGTACCCACGCCGGCGCCCGGCTGCAACGGGACCCAGCAGCTGTGTTGAAGACAACTTCTGAGTCTTTTGTCTTTTTTTTTTTTTTTTTTTGTAAGCAGCATCAATTCATGATGAAACAAAAGTTGAAAACACAGAGGTAGAAATGCCCTTCACCCAAGAATGGGTGCAGTTTGGTCCTCAGAATCCAAGACCCTTCTTCCCCAGAGCTGAGAAGAGAGGAGTCAGAGTGAGCAGGATCCAGGGTGAGCTTCTCCCTTGTCAGAGAGCAACGTGGCAGTCCCAGGACCCCAGCTCTTCCTGGGAAGTCGTGGTCACAAATCCAGGCAAGCAGGAGGCAGCTGGGATGTGTAGGGGGAGGAAGGGCAAGATTTCCCCAGATCCACAAGGGTTGCCTGCTAATTAATGGGGACAGACTGGAACAAGACAGTTGCTGCAAGCAGCCACTCCCTGAACAGACACCTGGGGTGGATTCTGGGTCGTTGCGCCATCTCCACAGCCTAAAATGAGCTGGCACTTCCAAGCACCCTTCCTTGCCTGAGCACCCCTTTCCTCCATTTTTCCCTCACAGTGGAAGGGGGTGAGGGTGGAGCATGTGGGAGCTCAGAATCAGAGGTGATGCAGCACCCTGGAGGTTAGGAGGGCACCCCACTCCAGCACCACCGGTGGCAGCCTTGGGCCCTAAACCCATCTCCTCTTCAAAGAGTGCCAGATTGCGTCTGCGGAGGGGAACGTGTTGCAGGACGAGGTGGGTGGGAGTTTCCCAGCCCTCCCCTGGAGCAAACCTTCTGCCTTCACCCTCTCAGTTCTGGGGGGGCTACAGCCAGGGTGTTTACATAGCCATGGGGACCCCCATCATTCTCCGAGATGCAGTGGCCCAGCTGGGAGCCTCCGGGAGGCAGCGGCAGAGGGGCAGACGGAGGGGCGCTGTAGCCCCCTCTGCCCTGACTCGGGAAGGCCTCGCCCCGGTGGTCCCAGCAACCCTCCAGGGCCTCCAGGCCGCGGCAGCCGAGGAAGAAGAGGTTCTTCAGCATGAAGACGGAGAGCGGCTGCTGGTGGCTCACCACCAGGAGGCAACGCAACGCCAGCAGGGGCACGTCCACCAAGCAGCCCCCCAGCAGGCGCAGGAGGCGGCTGCAGCTGCCCGCCCCAGAAGTTTGAGCCCGCGACGGGACGCCGGCGGCGTTGAGCTCGTACAGCCAGAGCACCGGTGAGGCGAGGGTGAGGAAGTAGACCGCAAGCAGCAGGTAGCGCAGGTGTGCGGGCAGCGGCACGCGACCTTCCAGCGTCAGCTCCACCAGGGTGAAGCTGTCGAGCAAGTCCAGGCAGGTGCCCAGGAAGCAGCCGGCCGCGCGGTGCTGCTGGGGCTGCAGCAGCAGGGGCCCCGCCGAGCCCGCGTGGGCTCCCGCCTCGCTGATGGCCCGCACCAGGCTATAGAGGAGGGGTACCGACAGCGCCATGGTGAGGCGAAAGCCCGTGGTGCCGAAGGGCGCGCGCAGCTCGATGAGGTCCAGGATGGATGTGCCCAGAATGAGCACTACCTTGGGAGTGAAGGCGATGGAGTAGATAAGCCAGGCCAGATAGGCGAAGGCGAACTCGCCCGCCACCGCCGCGGGTCCTGGGCCGCCGGCGGGGCCGCTGACAGCCCCGCGGCCCCCGCGCGTCTTGGCTCCGCTCGCGGCTCCGGCCGAGGCGCCCGATGCGGCGGTGGGCAGGTGCAGGGGCGGCGCGGCGTGGTGGTGCTGGTGCTGGGGGTGGCCATACGCGCCGCCCGCCGCACTGCCCCGACGGCCCCGGCTGTTTTTAGCGAAGAAGATGGCCCAGCCCACCACCACCACCAGGTCCGTGGCGATCCAGGAGCACCAGTACAGGTCGGTGACAGCGATGAGGTACAGGTCCAGCAGCCCGCCCTGCGCCAGCAGCAGCACCACGGACAGCGCTTGGTAGCCCCAGCGGCACCCGGACCCCAAGGCGCACCCGTGGCGCCCTCGTCGGCGGCCGGCAGGGGCCGGGTGGTCGCCGCCGCCGCAGCAGCAGCAGCAGCAGGGGCAGCAGCAGGCGCCGCCGCCGGGCCCCGCGCCCCCCGCGCCCCCGGCCGAGCGCCCCCCAGCCCCTCCGACGGTCCTGACCGCGGCGCCCCCGCCGAAGTCGCCGGCCGTCATGCCGCAGGAGGAGGCGGGCGTGGACGCGGAAGAGCAGGTGGCGACCGACGAAGAGAAGGCGGCGGGCGCGGCGTCCCCTGGCGCCGAGGGTCCCCCGGGCGCGGAGGCCGCCACCAGCGGCTTGCTAAGACTGATGCTCTCGTCGTCTTCCCGCCCCGCGCCGCCGGTGCCACTGCTGCTGCCGCCGCCGCCGCTCCCTAAGTCGCCCCCGCAGCGCCGGCCGCCCCCGCGGCTGGGACTGGGGCTGGGGCTACTGCTGCCGCTGTCGCCCGAAACCCCCAGGCCGCGGGGCGACCCTCCACGGAAGAAGAGGGGCTGCAGCCGGGCGGCGGGCGGCGGCGGCGGGAAGGCGCCCGGAGACGACGAGAGCGGGCGAGGGTGACCGAGCGCCGGGTGCATTGTCCTCCGGGGCGCCCTCCCCGCCGACCCCGGACTGGAGTGGCGGCCGAGGGGAGCCCCGTCAGCCGCCGCCGCCGCCCGGAGGCTGGGCCTCGTACTCCGAGTGGCGGCGAGATCCGGACTGGAGCCCCCGGACTGGGCGATCCAGGCCCGCGCGGCCGAGAGCTGGGCTGGCGAGGCACCGGGTCCACCGCGGCGGCGGGCAGCAGGGATGGGGTGGGGCGGGGCGGGAGGAGGGGGTGCCTGGCGGTGCGGAAACCTGGACTGGATTCGAGAGGAGCAGAGGAGGAACGGAGAGCAGGAAAGGAGAAAGCACAGCTCACAGAAACCCCGCGCAGCAGGAAGGAGGGATGCCACGGGGACCTGGCGTAGGGAGGATCCAGCGCAGAGCGGGGCTCCCTCAGGAGTGGGTCTGGCCAGCGTCCTGGAGGCTGGACGCCCTTCACCTCAGCACGGACCAGGGGCTCAGGCTGCTGCACCTGCTCTACCTTCAATGCAGGGTTCTGCTCATTGGACCTCCCTGTGGCTTCCGAAGGCACTTAGAATGCAAAAAGAAGGACCTGGAGGCATGGCCTAGCGGCAAAAGTCCTCACCTTGAACGCACCGGGATCCCATATGGGCATCGGTTCTAATCCCGGCAGCTCCACTTCCCATCCAGCTCCCTGCCTGTGGCCCGGGAAAGCAGGCTTTGGGACCGTTCCTGGTTCCTGGTTCCTGGCTTCGGATCGGCGCAGCGCCAGCCTTTTCGGTCACTTAGGAAGTGAATCATCTTCCTCTCTCTCCTTCTGTCTGTATATCTGACTTTGTAATAAAAATAAATAAATCTTAAAAAAAAAAAAAGAAAAAAAAGAATGCGAAGAGAAGCGTCCATGTGAGCTTGGTCCAAGGGACAGCAGCGTCAACTAAGTATTACCACCCTACCCTCCAGCACTGGGCTCACAAGTTCCCAGGAGCATGAAGTTCTCTGAATTTTATCAGGTGGACAGAGAATATAAAGGCACTGTACAAGTGATCCCAGCCAAGTAGAATTTGGGGTTTGTAAATATTCTTTTTTTTTTTTTTAAAGATTTATTTTTTTATTATTTTTTCATTGGAAAGGCGGATATACAGAGAGGAGAGACAGAGAGGAAGATCTTCCGTCCGATGATTCACTCCCCAAGTGAGCGCAACGGGCCGATACTATGCCAATCCGAAGCCAGGAGCCTCTTCCGGGTCTCCCACGCGGGTGCAGGGTCCCAAAGCTTTGGGCCGTCCTCTGCTGCTTTCCCAGGCCACAGGCAGGGAGCTGGAAGGGAAGCGGGGCTGCCGGGATTAGAACCGGCGCCCATATGGGATCCCCGGCGTGCAAGGCGAGGACCTTTAACCACTTGCGCCACCGCGCCGGGCCCTGTAAATATTCTTAAAGCCAGAGATTTGCCCAGTAGAGAGGAGAGGAGACCCAAGGGATTTTGAGGTCTGGGTGCTGTTAGGAACAGAGGCTCAAACGGGATGGTAGAGTGGGGGAAAGGGGACAGAGAGCCCACCACCAGCCAGCTCAAGTGCTCAGGGACTCCACTATGGTGGGCTGGGCTTGATGTCCAGGCAGTGATTCCAAAGTCAGAGGGTAAAAGTGATGGATTTAAGGGCTGCAGAAAAGGAGCTGGAGCTCCTGTGTCAAGCAGACAGCATGCTCCCACCCATCACCCCAAGGCTGAGGCCTGCCTGCCCCTGCCTGCTGCACATCCTTCAGGCCGCGAGTTCCCTGCCTGGATTCCATTCCCTTAAACCTGCTGTGGGTCATCTTCCTGGAAGACACTGCACAGCACCAACTCGTGGATGCTTGGGACTCACAGCAGTTGGCTCCCCACGCCTTGCCCCTAAATCCACTGCTTTGAACCATGGCCAGTTTCTGCCAAGCCTGCTTTCTGCAGCCTGTTGGAGCTCAGGCTTTGCAAACAATCCATGGTGGCGCAGAATTCAGGATTCACCACACCGGCCACATGTAGTGGCACAGCACGTTGGCCTGCAGCTTGAAACGTAGACACGCCATATCAGAACACCTGGTTTCAGCCTGGCCCAGTCCTGGCTGTTTCAGGCAAGATATTCTCTCTCTCTCTCTCTCTCTCTCTCTCTCTCTCTCTCTCACACACACACACACACACACACACAGCACACAAGCTGCCTTTCAAGTAAATAAATCTTTAAAACACAAGATTCACGACCTCCACTATTTCCACTTCTGTTGGCACACACAACCTTTGGAAAGCCTATGTGCAGTCATTGTGCAAAGAACAGAATGGAGCCTGCGCTCTGGACCAACAGTCCCAGCTCCAGTATATGCCAGTCTGAGTGAGCTGGGGCTGAACCAACAGTCCCACCTCCAGCACATCCCAGTGTGTGTGAGCTGAGGCTGGACCAACAGTCCCAGCTCTAGCACATGCCATTGTGTGTGAGCTGAGGCTGGACCAACTGTCCCGGCTCCAGCACATCCCGGTGTGTGAGCTGAGGTTGGCTAGTTCTCCTCTCGGAGCCTCAGATGATCTAGACAGGGGCAAGGACCCACCTGAAGAGGTTGTTGCGACTCAGGAGGAAAGGGTGAGGCCAGCGTGTGGTTTAGACATAGCCTCAGTTAAAGGCATCCGGGGTGATCATGGCTCCATTTAGCGCAGTTCTCAGTCTCCCAGGGAACACTGACTCACAGCAGGGGCTGTGGGGGCGGAGTGCTGTTTCTCGGCTGGGTGCCTTCACGCGTCCTCACTCCTCAGTCTGTCAAGCAGCAGAGCTGCTGTCCTTTGGAGAACAGGTACTCGGGGCTGGTCTGGCCAGGCCTTGCCTCGGGAAGCACTCAGCCACACCAGCTGATGCCAAGGCCGCTCGCTGTAGTGGGGCCACGTGGGGAGCAGTTTCACCCTCCCACTCGCATCCTGTGCCTGCGCTCAGGCCACGCAGCCCGCAGCTCTGAGCAGTCTGTGCGAAGGGGACTGGGGAGCTGCCAACCACTAATGGAGTCATCACAGCCCATCTCCCCTTCTTCCCTCAGGGACGATGCCCGCCAACCACTCACGTGTAAGCTGCCGGTCATTCCTGCTGCAGTTGAAGAAGCAGAGGCAGCTGATGGAAGGCCAAGAACTGGATTCTGAGACAACACCTTGTCTCCATCCCTCCCACCAGTCCCCACCCTGGCCTGCCTTACACATCCCACCTACCCGCCCCCCACCCACACACCCACCCGGGCCTGTGAGGGTGAGCCTGCTTGCAAAGGTGACTTCACAAGGATTGCTGTGCTCCCAAGAGAGTTGAATTTTGACTGTCCTTCCAAGTGGTCCTGCCTTTCTAGCAGATGAACTGACAGTTCATCAGATTTGCTTTCTGTGAGAGATTCTTTCCCCCCCTCCTCTTTTTAGACCTGGGAGCCTGAGTCATGGGACCATAGAACAATTAGGGTGAGAATTCTGAGGCTACACCACAGAATATGCTGAAGACTTCATCTTGCTGGGGACTGTTCATCATCCTGGGATGTTTCCAACCTTACACACACACACACACACACACACACAGCCTCTGCTTCAGGCTGGATAGAGGCTTGATAAGGACGCAATATTGAGTAAGGAGAAGAAGGTCAAAAAAGACCTTCACACACACATAGTGAGTACAGGGGAGGATGTTTGTTTTGACAGGTAAGACGCCAGAGTTCCTAGCTTCTGGCTTTTACTTAAGATTTATTTTTTTTTTAAGATTTTTTTATTTTTATTGGAAAGGTGGATATACAGAGAGGAGAGACACAGAGAAAGATCCTCTGTCCGATGATTCACTCCCCAGGCGGCCACAACGGCTGGAGTTGAGCCAATCCGAAGCCAGGAGCTTCTTCTGGGCCTCCGAAGCGGGTGCAGGGTCCCAAAGCCTTGGGCCGTCCTCGACTGCCTTCCCAGGCCACAGGCAGGGAGCCGGATGGGAAGCGGGGCCGCCAGGATTAGAACCGGTGCCCATATAGGATCCCAGGCGCGCAAGGACCCTAACCACTGCGCTATCGCGCCGGGCCCAAGATTTATTTTTGTATTTGTTTGAAAGTCAGGGACAGAGAGATCTTCCAGTCACCAGTTCATTCAACAACTGGATCTGGTCCAAGCTGAAACCAGGATACAATATTTGGCGATAGAATATTCTGGTTCTTCCGGAATAGAAAGGCTCGTGGCTCCCAGACCTTTGAGGAGCGCACGACTAAGCCCTGGGACAGGAGCAGTCATCAGCTTGGCAAGCTTGGTAAGGCAGCAGCGCCAACCTTGCCCGGGACAGAGTGCGGCTTTGCTCTGTTCACGGCAAAAACAAAGGACAGCCGCAAAGGGAACTGTCAGCGAGGCGTGCCGCCTACGTGCAGAGATGAGAAGAGACAGCCAAGACCACTGGCTCTCATCACAGTTGCCACCTGACTCTCGGACACAGGGCAACCGGCAGGGAACCGGGACCAAGGCAGGTGTGTAAGAGCTTCAGCTAAGTAGGAACTTGCAGCCTCGCCCCGTGCTGAGAGCTCTCTGAAGACAGGGACTGCATCTACCTTGATGTGGAGGCTCCTCTAATCCCAGGCCTGACCTTCAGCTACATTTTGGGCTATCAGACTTTCAGTTCTTTCTTAGGAGGGAGACATACAGAAATACGACCTAAGACAAACTCTTGAGTTCTGTGAACCTGATGACCACATTTTCTCTGGGGTCTCCTCCGGAGAGACAGGGGACATGACAGTTGCTGAGAGGACTCGGCAGCGTTGGAGAGCAGATAGAGGAATCCAGAGAGCCAGGCAGGTGCAAGGTGGACGAAGGAGCTGCCTGTGAAGTGCTGGGGCCTCTGCAAAAAATCACGAGTATGTGGCACTGTCTGAATACATGGGACAAGAAACACAAAAGGAGAGAAGGTTGAGGAGGGCCACAGGGCTAGGTGATGGTGGCCTTCCCTGCAAGGCTGAGCTTGGGCTATATTCTGAGGGAACCAGGAACTCTGGAAAGCAGGGCTATAGAACAGACTCCTGT